AGTTGAGTGGAGTGAGGCACTACCAGCAATGGGGCTGCCATGTGCTCAGGACAGAATAGAGAATTTGAACACAGAGTGGAACATCATACAACGAATGACTGAAGATTTTACTTCAACTTCTTTTTTATCATCACTAGTGGCTCGACCGGATCTTTGTGTTATGTTTCCTGGGATGAAAAAAGTAGGAATTCATCTCTTGCTACTCCCAGTCACAACAGCTACAGCTGAGCGTTCTCTTTCATCGTTGAATAGAATTTTGTGTTCTGAAAGAAGTCGCCGTTTGCCTGATCGTGTGAATGAACTAATGAGCATATCAATTGAAGGAATGGAAGTACTGGGCACACGAGAAGCCACCAAAGATGAACGCATTGCATTTGAGAAATTCATTAACAGACTTGTGCAAAATTATAACAAGAAACCAAGAAGGATGTAGACGTAGTGCTTCATAGCAGGCTTGAGTAGCCAACTATAATTTGTGTGATTTTAAAACATGAGTTAAATCTAATAAAATGGTCATGAAACATTTTTTTCAGTTTTTACTATGGTGCCATGCAGCCCACCTTCACCTTCATGGTCTCACCCCTCATCGGCCCTGACACCCCCTCGTAAATTCAAACCCCACCCCCCACCCCCCGAATTTCAATTCCTGGGGAAAACACATCGCCCCTGACACCCCCTCGTAAATTCAAACCCCACCCCCCACCCCCCGAATTTCAATTCCTGGGGAAAACACTGGCTCAGAGGCAGACCCGTGAATTCCAATTATACAGAGACCCCAATCCTCGCTACAACCAAGTTGGGCTTAAGGGGATTTTGCTCTGGGGTTCTTGTTCAAAGCTGTCGCCTGTGTGTTTTCTTGGCTGCTTACTATTCTGCAGACTGTGAGCGTGGCCCCCTCAGTCCCTGGGATGCTGGGCTGGAGGGAAGCCACTTCAGCCCTGGGAGTAATTTAGAGCAGTTTCAGAGATTGCAGAAGTCCAGGATGTGGTGGTGCACGCTGCCCGCATGCCTCCTGTCTCCCCTGCACAGGAGTGGAAACTGCTCTTGTAGAGCCAGCTGAGCTGGTTTTGCACCACTTGAGGATTCCTCTGAGATAGGGGGTGTCTTGGGATGCTGCCTTAGTGCAGCTTTGCCGCTACTGGGGCTGCTGCCACGGTGCCAAACTGATGGGAAATGGCAGAGGATTTGACCATGTGCCGCGGCGGATTCAGAGCAGGGCGAGTGGGGCGGCTGCCCCAGGCCCAGTGCTTCCCAAGGCCCCGCGCATGCGCCGTGGTGCCACTGTGCATGGACTGTGCGAAAGGGGGGGAGCCCCGCAAAATTTTGCTGCCCAGAGCCCCGCGGTACTCTCCTCCGCTCCTGACCATGTGGAACCAGTTCTCTTCTGATTTACACCAGTGAGACTGAGGAATAGCTCCACTGCAGCCAGTGGAATGACATCCCTTGAGGCCTGAGCCAGGCAACAGGGACCAGCGCTTTACCCCCTGGGAGCAGGCTGGGCTGCGTGATAGCAAAAACCCATTTCCCAGAGATGCGAGTCTGTGCAGGGGTGTCCGTTCGCATTTGTTACTGAGGCTGACCAATCTCAGCAAGCAGGGGAGAAAAAGGTAGAACACAACACTGGTTATGGGCTTGAGCCTCCAGACGGGGGGTGGGCAATAATTTTTTGTTGGGGGGGGCCCCACTCCAAGATTTTGGTAAGTGGCTAAGGGCTGCACTTTTCTATGCAGGGAGTGTGGGGTCGAGAAAGAGTTGGGTGCAGAAAGGAGCTCGGGGTAGGGGTGCAGGAGAGGGTGTGGGGTCTGAGAAGGAGTTTGGGTGAAGGAAGGGGTTATGACCTGGGGCAGAGGATTGGGGTTCAAGGTGCGGGAAGGTGTAGGAGTGGATTTTTACCTGGGGGAAGGGTGTAGGAGGAGGTGCAGGATCTGGGAGAGTTGTGACCTGGTGAAGGAGGGGTGCAAGGGTTGTGAGTGGTGACTTGAGGCAGGGAATTGGGGTGCAGGGTCAGGGAGGGAGAGAGTGTGGGTGCAGGAGAGGATTCTGGCCTGGGGGAGGGCTATAGAAAGGGGTGCAGCATATGGGAGGGAGTTGTGACCTGAGGCCGGGGTGGGGGGCGTACCAGAGGCAGGGGGTGAGGTGCCAAAGGCAGGCTTTGACTGGGACTCGCTTACCTCCCAGCCAGCAGCCCAGCGGGGACCCCAAGGCAGGCTCCCTCCCATTCATGACTTCATAATGCTGCTGTGGCAATTGAAAAAGCGTTTTCCAGAACCCATTCCATGTGTGTCTGGCTCCTATTACCAGTCCGAACAGCCAGATATACGATGGGCCAGCAGCAGGTAGCCAACCAGCGGCGTGCACCCCAACAGCAAGGGCCTCCAATGCACTGAGGCCAGGCTGAGGGGAAAGGTATTTTCTGACCTGCGTGGTGTTGGCAGAATGTGGCTTCTGGGAGTTAATCTTTGGCCAGGGTCAGGGCCCAGACACAGTCTCTGCAGTCTGCATGGACTGACTTTGCCCTGGGCAGGAACCTATTCTTATGTGGGTTCCTTAAAGGGAAGGAAGGGGCTGTTCAAAACTGCTGGAGGCTCCCTCCATGTGCTGCTTTTTGCTGCCCCCACCCTCTCCCATGGAGGAGAATGTGGCTTCTGGGAGTTAATCTTTGGCCAGGGTCAGGGCCCAGACACAGTCTCTGCAGTCTGCATGGACTGACTTTGCCCTGGGCAGGAACCTATTCTTATGTGGGTTCCTTAAAGGGAAGGAAGGGGCTGTTCAAAACTGCTGGAGGCTCCCTCCATGTGCTGCTTTTTGCTGCCCCCACCCTCTCCCATGGAGG